CGGCTAAAGTCAAGTCACTTCACTTTAAACTGTGAACCGGCGAGGCACAGTGCATCGATGAATGAATGATTTACGATGTTCCATGGAAAAACTACTCTGAATAATTTATTGATAAATTGTGAAAGCGAAAAACCGGCAAGCCGCAATGCCCACTTGCTTACGGGATGTGGAGTCAGCCCACAACGAGCAGGAAATAAAAAAATACTATACACACATACATGCATATACATTTGTATATATATGTGTGTGTGTGTTTGTATTTAACAAGTCGGCTCAGAACAGCCCAACCCACCGACAGTAAGCAAGCAGTCGAATAGCCTTGCGCCAGCTAGCAAGCAAGCAGCAACATCATCAGCGCCAACCATCAGCCGGCATTCACTTTTGGCATGAAAAACTTCAAATTGGAATGCAGCAGAAAATGTCAATGCGAATTCCCATCGCATGCTCATAACAGCCAGGCAGCGTCCGCAGCTGAGCCAGCAATTCGCTCGTTGCTGCAATTGCTGCTCGTACTTCCTTCACAGCTCTAGCTGTGGCGTGGCCCGAGGTTGTGGCAGCGTGCGACGTGATGCCAATAAAATCGTGTGATATTTTTGTGCGATCGCATTCGCAACTACCTGCAACACTCATGCCTATTGCAACAACTGTCATAACACACACGCACACACACACATAATGATTGTGGTTGGATATGCTGCAGTCTATCAGCATTCATACAAATGGCATTTGTGGCGTGCAACAATGCGCTGTGCAGTAGCTGATCGTGCCACTCAACTTCGACGACACAACAATTCGGACCGTAGCTTCACTTCAGCTGTCATTGCGGATTGTTAGTGCATGCATATAGGTGTGTGTGTGTGTGTCCCTTTGTAGGGTTGCATGGCCCAGAGGACTCATAAATATTCTGTGCGGATGCTTGTCAAAAATGCATGATGGAATTATGACAGATCGTTATGATTAGCACGTTGCGATGTGCGTGATATGCCGTGGCACAGTGATGATGACAAGTGATCGTCAACGTTCCTCAGCGATCAACGATCAGCGACTTTGGTGTGTGATCACATTGATTTCGTGGCATTACATGGATTTTTTATGCAGCTGCTAAAGGATATGCAAGTTGTTGGAGTGGCGCAATTTAATTGAGTAGCGTTCTCATAGGGCGCATGCATTGTAAGCATTTGAACGTAATTATTTGGCTTTTTATGAAAGAGTTGGTATGATGTAAACAAATTAATGAATTGCCATTCTCAGGCATTTCAAATGCTATGTGCGCTAATTTCTCAGTAGTATAACAATTCCACTTTTTTTTTTTGTATCAAAAGCTTTCTTTTTTTAGTTGAATAAATATATATTTGCTTTTTACACCCTCGACAGGGTTTGTTAAATTTGCCACGAACTTTGTAACGCACAGAAGGATACAAGAGTCGTTAAGTTGTTACGTGAGCATATACCGACGACGGCCATGAACACAATACGTTGATCAACGCCCCTAATAGTTTATGACTTTTGCAAGTTTTATTTCATTCCAATCGGTCATTTGGAAAGGATACCTTTTCCACTTTGGTCGGGTTCGACGCCGACATAAAACCTCTGCCGTGCTGTAGGTCGGGGGCCCGGTACTCAGCGCCACTCCACACCGAACTGAATTTTCAATTCTACCTGACTTTAGGTTGAAACTACAGCTCCGACGAATATCCCCGAAGGGCCAAACCCAATGAGCAGATTGGAGCAAACTCCAACTCTTCGTGGTGCCATATTTAAGTCTCCGGCCAGACTTTGCTTTTACTAGTTGAGCACTCATCAAACTCAATGACTGGTGACATTTGTCGCTTGAACTTTAAATGCCTTTTCATTAAAAGGAATCTTTTTAAAAGTCTATAATATCAGTTCAAGCTGAGTATTATAGTGATATTTCTTACAATACTGTGCTGAAATTGTGAGACAAGCCAAATAACAGGCATAGTGCAAATGGGATTTTACCTTACCGCTTGTTGTAATTACAAGACGTAATGAAAACTAGTTCAAGAAAAGCTGAGGAGGTTATCCTCGATATACGGCCAATACATATTCAAGTAAAGCGGGGCATAATACTAAGGAAAGCTGGATAATGATTTTAGGTCTTTGGCACCAGACACGTCTTCATTACAGGCGTGATGTTAAGAAATTTGAACTAATCTGGAAATGCTGGAAGATACATGAAGTATTAAGCACATCTTATACATTCTTCCGGTAAAGAAGACTAGACAAATGAGTATGTGATAAACAGTTCCAACGGTGAAATCTACATATTCACCGACGTATCAAAGGCTGAAAAAAGAGTAATTGAGGGCTAGTAAACCATAGGAAGAAGGTAGTCTCAAACTGAAATTAATTTTTTCACACCGAAATTGTTAACATAACAGAAGGCTTTGGTGTCAAGTGGGCGTCTGCTCTAACCAGTAAACCCAAAAATCTTCTATTGGCTAAGGAAGTAAAATTTAGGCCATCCGTAATCTAAACTCTCAGTAAGTAAATCTGTTATTATCATCAGTGTACATATATACAAGTAGGAATAGAAGGAAACTAAAAAGCATACGAGTTGGCTCATCGGAGCAGCTGGGAACACAATACCACAAAGCTGCCCCATACCATTACACTCCTTCAAGAGTCAAGGGACCATCGGGAAAGCTCTTATGTCTGCAAAACAACTTTGTAGTAATCTTAGTGGACAAAAAGCTGCTACTTTTCGCCTTCTAGAAGCACTCGAATAACCAGTTTTTAGCCAGATGAGATGTGATATATTATACGGCTCTAAATGCGACATTCAGCAGCTTTGTTTTGAAATATACTATACTATTGAAATTGTGTACAATATTATGTTACATAACATTTCAAACATAATTTGACAAAAAAAAATTAAGAGGAGACATTTAAATATAATCATTTGTTCAAGCGGCCTCAAACCTATTCCGGCCTAAAAAAGGGGTGTGTATAAAACTCTTCGTATGAATAGTATGTTAACTAATTAGATTTTCTTCAAATTACCATTTCAACACATTGTAAAAAGAATTATATAAATACAGATATTTCTAAAAAATAGCGTTTAGCATAGACTGTAGAGTTTTTGCTAATAAAAACAACTTCTCTCATAAAATCCACATTATAAATTTAATGTTGGAAGCTGAGAGCTGTAATCAACTACAAAACTTAGTAGAACTTCCATTCTGTCAACCAATTTGTTTACAGCAGCTGTTTAAGACGGTACACCTCAGTAGTGCTTTGCGATTTTAACAATGGATAAAACTTTCAAACAAAGAATTTTTCTCGAATTTTATATTTCTAGAAACATTTCGTGTCATCAGTTGATCAAAAACACAGGTGTACCACTTGTAGACCCCTTTCAAAGACGGTCGAGAAATCGTTCAAGACATGCCTTGTTCTGGACGACCTTGAAAAGCGTCAACTCGAAATCTCTCGCAATAGAGGCGTTGTTACTCGAATCGTCCCGATAAAGCAAAAAAATTTTTTTTTTCAAAAAAAATTACCGTAAGCAAGACTTTTTGGGCATGCTTGACATGCGAATTGTGATTCCACATTCATGAAGAGCATTATAACTGCCGATAAGGCTTGGGTTAATGAGTTTCACATGCAAACAAGTCAACAATCAGCGGAGTAGAGTCCGGTTTCAGTCGATCGAAGAGATAAAACAAAATTCGCTGAAGGAGCTGAATGTTATCCCAAAAAGTGCTTATGAAAAAAATGTTTCGATGACTAGGAAATGAGTATATTGAGCCATATATGTCTGCATATAAGCGAACTAAACACCACCAATAATGTCAGCCTGGAAATCCAACGCAGGATAACTCTTGCCAACAGGTGTTACTTCGGACTGAGTAGGCAATTGAGAAGCAAAGTCCTCTCTCGACAAACAAAAACCAAACTCTATAAGTCACTCA